ATCATCAAGGAAGTTTGTGATGGGTAAGTAGAAAGTGCCCTCGTTCTGGACAACGGTAGGCTAACAACTACAGGAACACTGCCCCACCTTGAGAGGAATCTCCAGTTAGTTGAGTCCCGGGAATGGAGCTTTTGTGGATCATTGTCTTACAAAGGAAGTAGGCTGAGGAGGATGTCCCTAAGACCTCGTAGAAATCCTTCTTTTTCCTATAAGCCCAGGAATGCCCTGCCTGAGGCCCTGGTGGGGTGTGAGGCCCACGCTGAATTGTGCGGACCGCTGCAGCAGTCTGTACCCAAGGCTGGGCAAGTTGTCTTGTCAGCATCTTAGCCTGAAGCTTTGGGTCTCCCCCGTCCTCCAGATAGGCCGCCCAACCCCTGAGGCGACTCTGCTGGAAATGATGAATACATCTATAGCTTTTCGCCAGGCCCAGCGAGAGGGCCAGACGTCTGTACTGTGTGTTTCTTCCACAGGTGGTCGTTGCCGAACCCAGAGTATTACACCCTCCGTTACGCAGATGGCCCCCAGCTCTACATCACCGAACAGGTGAGTGCGGGAGCGGGAGCGGCAGAGGAGGTGGCCCTAGGAGGTGGCGCTGCCGGGGCTGCCAGCCTTGCTGGTATGCGGGCAGCTTCTGTTTACAGGGGAGCGGCTGCCTCCCAGGCGGGTTGGGGTGCACCAGCCCTGCCTCCTCTAGTGGCTGGAAAACCGTGCCTTCTACCTCCTGAGGGCCAGGGGCACGTGGAGGGGGTCTGAGAAGTTCTTGGGCAAGACGCATGCAGAAGGAGGCCTGACCTAAGAGGCTCGGTTACAACTACTATAAATGACAGCAAGTTCTCGTCAATTCAGCTGGCTTGCACAATTTTAATATTGTGTCTTAGTCTTTTTTCTCTTTGTTACCCAGACACGCAGTGACATTAAGAATGGGACCATCTTACAGCTGGCTATCTCCCCGGTAGGTATCCGGCTATCATTAGCAGTAAATTTATTTAACACATATAGGAGCACCCACCATGGGCCAGACCCTCTTCTAGAAACCAAGACTACAGAGCTTAAAAAGTCAATCTTTGAGGTGCCCCTGGCTGGCGCGGTCAGTGGAGCATCTGACTCTTGCTCTCGGGGTTGTGAGCTTGAGCCCCACGTTGGGTATAGAGATTACTTAAAAAAAAAAAAAAAGTCAATCTTTGCTCTCACAACCTTGTGAGGAGGAAACAAAGGCCTCTCTCAAGCATCTTGACAGAAAGTTGCTTAGGGAGCTGTGGGGACTCAGAAAAGGGGCTGCCTGGCTCAGCCTGAGGATTCCCAGAAAACCTTCCCATAGAAGGGAACGCTTAGCACAGATGTTGAAGGATAAGCAAGAGTTAGCTGGAGAGAGAAGAAAATGGAAAGTATACCAAGCAGAGAGATGTGCTTCGTGTGGGGGAGGTGGGGCCTGTAGCAACCAGTAGGGAGCCAGACCTGGAAGGGTCCCGGATGGCCTGCTCTTGGGTTTGGACTTGATTCAGAAGGGAATGTGGGGACATTGAAAGATTTTAAGCAGGAAGGTACATTATGTTTAGATTTATATTTTAGGAAGATCACTGTAGTGACAATGTGGAAGATAGGCTAAAAAAAGAAGGTTGGTGGTAGGAGGAATCTTTAAGAAGCTAATGAGAAATGTTAACAGCCCATGAAGTGAAGGCAAGTGACAGTGGAGACGAGGGGACGGGCATGAGAGATATTTAGAGGTAAACCTGGGGATGTGGTGATATCCTGGATGTGGAAGGAAAGGGAAGACGCCCTGATTCCTGCCAGTGGTCCTGAAAGGTAACTAAGGAAGCGACCAGAAGGGCAGAGAGAAAACCAGAAGACCCGAGGGGGGAGGGAAGGGGCAGGGAGTGTGAGGATAGAGGAAAGCGTGGTCTGCAGTGAGCAGAGATCGAGTGGACTGAGAGCAGAAAAGCTGTTCACTGATCCGGGAAGTCCATGGTCCCCGGTGACCTCTGTGAAGACAGTTCTCGTGCTGTGATGAATGACAGCCAGGCTACAGCGGTGGCAAAGTGAGGTCCCCGGACTTCACTGCACTATCAGGAGGCTTGGTTATAAAAGGAAGTAGACAGCAGAAGGCAGGAACTCGGGGACGTGGAGCCAAAAAGATAATGCTTTTTAAAAAGAGGTAAAACATTCCTGGGTTACAAAAATCAAAAAGTTTGACAAAGATACAGTGGAAGGTCTCCCTCGCACTCCCATCCCTCACCTACCCAGTTCCCCGCCTCCTCTGACCCTTCCTAGCTGCTAACTTCTGTTGCAGTTTCTTATGTGTCTTTGAAAACAAGTTAAGATGGAAGAGAGGAAGGTTGATGGTGCAGGAAAGGGGGTGATGAATGGAATAGGACCTCACTGGGTCAGGACAGGGGGAACCCAAAGCCCGGATGGAGGGATTTTTGACCGCTCAGTCCCCAAGGAGGATGGTCGATGTGGGGGTCACTTAGGTGTAGAAGGGCTGCCAGCAAATTAAGGGCGTGATGGCCCCTGTTTTCTTGGCGAGGCAAGAGACTGGTCCATCTGAGCAGAAGGGTGGTGTGCAGTAATAATAGCTAACAGTTCCAGAATGAGCGCTTCGCATACAATGTATCATCCCATCTTGACAGACCCCCGAAGAGATGGGTACCCGAAGAGATGGGTACCCTCGATAGCCCCGTTTTGCAGATGAGCAAACAGAGACTCAGGTTAAGAGACTTGCCGCTTGTCCCACGGATAAAAACGTGGCCGAGCCGCCTCTTGAACCCGGGGCTGGCTGACTCCGGGCCGGTATCCTCCACCCCCCCACCGTCAGCTCTGCAGCTTGATGTGACCGTCTGGGAGCTGCTTTCGTAGGTGTGCCGCAGCATTTTACGGACCTCCTGTGCAGGGTAGCTGACTTGCCCAGGAGTCCATCTCTCTGGAGTAGGGGACAGTGGCCCGGAAACGCTATCTCAGGAGGAGCCTTAACGTTTGGAGTTAGAAGTTTCTAAGTGTGGTGCAGACCAGTGCCCTTCAAATTGTTCTATCCTGTGACCTGTCCTCGCGGCGTGCCTTTTCTCCATGGTGGGGAGCCTGGAGGATTTCTGTGTCGTCCCAAGCCCTGTCTCTGTGATAATAAAAGAGGAGAGGCAGATGGGGGAGAGGGGCGACCGGGCCTGACTCCTCGGTCAGCGGCAGGAGCCGGGCTGCAGTCACTTGCTGAGCACTGTAAGAAAAAATAAAGACCACAGCAGCATTTTGCTCTCAAGGCTCTTCCGTTCCAGCTGAGAATATTAATTAACAGACAAAAAATAGAGAATGACGACTTGCGGGTCAGTCGCTTGCGGGGGCCCTGACTGCAAAGCCAGGAAGTCCAGCAAGAGGAAGGGCCGGCGGACTCTAGGGGAGGGCTTGTGGCTAGGGCTTGCAGAAAGGAAGCAAGGCATTCTGTTGGGAGAAGTTCGTGTGCTAGGAGAAGGCTTGGTCACCAGCCATCACTTTGAAAAAGCTGTTTTGAAAGCCCCCGGCTCCTCGGTGTCCTTAAAATTTCCCCAGGACTGTCAGTTTGAGGAACAATGATAGAGGCTTTCAGAGAAAGTTACAAAAAAAACTTGTCAGGCTTATCCCATTTTGAGATTGAAAGGGACTTTAAAGGTGATCAGCAGATTAAATCCTCCCCCCAATGCAAGAATCCCTTGTGTAGCATCTTTGACAGCTGGTTGTCCAGATTCTCCTTGGTTGCTTTTAGTGACTGAGAGCTCATTATGTCAAGAGACAACCTGGTCTACTGTCTGATGGCTTAAATTAATAGAAAACTCCCCTCTGTTGAGCCAATATCTGTGTCTCTGTGACTTGCCAGAGGTGGTGGACTATTGTCTCCCTGGTCTCTTTTGTAGTCCTTCAGTGGGAAGTTTTTGTAATCCATAGAGCAGAGTGCCTATATACACAGCTCCAGATCGGTCTTGGCATACTGGTAACTCCCTGAGTGATCCAATAAGCATTTATTAAGCCAACTCCTAGACAGCATGAACTAGTTCTGCCTCGGGCTCGGATGTCCACAGAAAAGCCTTTATGAGCTACTTACTCACAGAGCAGTAACCTGCCGCAAGGAGCAGACAGCATACATCTTGTCCCTGGTCTCATAGTCCCGGGCCGCACGCCAGCTGATGGAGAGGACCCAGTCGTCCAACATGGAGACCCGGCTGGATGCCATGAAGGAGCTGGCCAAGCTCTCTACTGATGTGACCTTCGCCACTGAGTTCATCAACATGGATGGCATCATTGTGCTGACACGGCTTGTGGAAAGTGGAACCAAGCTCTTGTCCCAGTGAGTATAACTGAGCTCCTATTGGGGGGTTTCAGAGACCGACTTCACTCAGCAGGGCATCCTTTTCTCATCTCCACTGAGTCACTTGAATTTACTGAACACCTTCTGCATACAGAGCAGTGAGCCAAGTACTGGGCTCTGCCCAGAGGGATTCGCTATTGCGGTCCTGAATCTTGTACTACAGGTGGTCTTCACAGATGCCAAGCAGTAGTAAAATCAGGGGGCACAGAAGTCAGGTCATGAAAGATCTGTTAATTTATGGGAAATGATTGGCCTGGTGGAAGCTAGTGAGCAGACTGTCCAGAATTGACCAGAATAGGCATCTGTCTATTCTTAACCCCCGCCCCTGCTTCCTCCCTTTCCAGTCACCGCCCCACTCCACACATGCACATGTGCGCACGTGTGCGCGCGTGCACACGCACACACACACACACACAGGCTTTCTCTGTGCTCACCATAGGTTCGCCATCTCCCTACCGCCCATTTTCACAAGGAGGACGAGCTCCAGGACTTTGCGTAGGTCACAGACATCTCTGATTCTCCAGTGCTAAGATGAGTGTGGCGGGACAGCATGCCCGTGGTCAGCCGTGAATGAACAGCTATTTAGTTAGCCGTCTAGGCCTGTGGTGGCTTTCTGTCCCTCTCAGGTGGCACAGACGGAGGCAGAAATCTTCTTTTCAGCTGATGGACCAAGCTATTGAAATTTGCAGCCAAACCAGGCCCCTAATCATGAGTGTTTGTTTTAAGTTTCGGATTTTGCAGCAGCACGGGCATCCTGAAGCCTTCAGCAGCCATCAGAGACTTCTGCCGTCTCCAGGGGGTGTAGCATTAGGCTGGCCTTGGTTTCCTCCTCTTTAAAATGGGGATGCTGCTTACACCGCAGTGCTGTCAGGGGAGTGTTGTTAACGGGTCTGACCCTGCCTTGCCAAGAGCACCGTGCAGCTGTGTAGAGGATGGTGTGTAGAAAGAGGAGAGACACAGGAGAGAAGGCATCGGAATCCCCATTCTCCATCAGCACTGCAGCCAATGTGTTGCACGCATTGTCGTCTTTCCCTCGCCACGACCCTGTGATCTTCACGCTGTGAGATTAACTCAGTTTTACAGAGATGGAATTTGAAGTTTGAAAAGATAAAATTTGCACAGTTAGTAAATAGTTGAACAGGAATTGCGCCCCTGTCCGAAGTTAGTACTCTTTGTCCTGCACTGCTGCCTCTTGGCCTTGAACATGGGCGGTAAGCTCCCTTGGGTACCCCTGCCAAGTGTTGGGATTGTAAAGGTCTGATACCGTTCTTGGTTTTGGGAAATGAATGAGTGCACGTGTTCCCCTGTGGTGAAGTGATGTGGGGAAGGAAAGCCAATCCCCTGGCAGCTCTTTTTTCCCAGAGATGGATACCTGGACAGAGTCTGCTGCACACCTGGCCAGGTGTGCATGCAGGAGCTTACTCACAGCTGTGCTGACCGTCCCTGGCGCTTTTGCTGAAATCCGTCCCCGTCACGGCTGCCGCCACACCTGTGTCCCCCAGCTCTGAATCTTTGTCCAATTTTGTGTGTGTTTTGCCTATGTCTCAGCTACAGTGAGATGCTGGCATTCACCTTGACTGCCTTCTTAGAGCTCATGGACCACGGCATTGTCTCCTGGGACATGGTTTCAATCACCTTCATTAAGCAGGTGAGGCCTCCGGCATTCCGTCGTCCTCCTCCTCCCTCTGTGGCCGGTTGTCCTGTCGGTTTATGGAGAAATGCATGCAAGACAGCCGTTCTGCTGAGGGTCGGCTTTCTATGCCCAAGGCCCGATTTTTCATCCGCACGCTCGGGTCTTCCTGGGGCTCCTGAAAGAGTTGCTTCCCTGTTCTCTCAGGGCCTGCTCTAAGAAGATGGAAACGGGCTCTGGGAACTGGGTGTGTGTGGCCCAAGCGGGATGGGATTGTCAGTGAGACTTGGGATGACACCAGCTGGGCCACCAGTGGCAGCCCTGAGCTTCCGAACTGCTTCCTGAGCACTCCCTTCTCTTCGGCTATACATGTTCATTTTCTCCGCCTTAGATTTCTAAGTCTGCCTTCTGTTGACAGATCTGCAAAGCAGCCTGTTTGGATCGTCAGATCGAACTCGGCGGGTGGGAGGGGATACTTCTACTTTAGCCTTCCTTTCTTCTATAGGAAGGGGAGGTGTCAATTCTCAAAACTGGACTAAAGCCAATGAGTCATGTATCCACCGACCTAGAATCACACCTGTCGTTGGCTTGGGACATTGGGAACTTCCTGATGCTGGAGATATTTAGGCAAAAGTGAAATGACCATGTGTCAGGGACATTATAATGGGGGTTGAGAATAATGGGGAGTTATTAGATTACAAGACTTTGAGGCCTTCCTGCCTCCCGAGTCTTTGCTGTCCTGTGTGCACGTAGGGGCAGAACGTGTGTCAGGAGAAGGGTACATGGAGATAAAAGGAGATCCCAGTTTCAGGAAGATCCTCTGCTTTCTACACTTAGCGTTTTCATGCCTCAACCCTTATTTTGAAAACAAAGGATTGAGCCCTTAGATTTTGAGGAAACACAGTTGGCTTGGATCGTTTGTCATTTGACAAATGGAGTTGCCCATGCCTAGGGAAATCCTGGCATATCGGCCAGGGTGGCCATAAACCAGATACCACTGTCCACATGGGGACAGCTGCCCCCGTGTGGGCCGCACACCTGGGAGGAGAGCCTTCGTGGGCCAACATCAGAAACCCAAGCCGTCCAGCACTCTTGGGCCCTGGGCTTCCTGACTGACCGGCCCTCGCTGGCTGTAGATTGCAGGGTACGTGAGCCAGCCCATGGTGGACGTGTCCATCCTTCAGAGGTCCTTGGCCATCCTGGAGAGCATGGTCTTGAACAGCCAGAGTCTGTACCAGAAGATTGCGGAGGAAATCACCGTGGGACAGCTCATCTCTCACCTCCAGGTGTGAGTAAGAGACCCTGCCCCAGCCTCCCTCTCACCTCTCATCCTCTGGCCATCTCCCAGGCCTCCTCCTTTGCTTGTGTTCCACACCGCTGGGCTGCTCGTTCACTCATTCATCAGCACATCCGCACTGCTGCTGGGACGCTCCCAGGATTTGGACCCGATCATGTCATGCTCCTGCTAAAATGCTCCGTGGTGCTCCTCGTCCCTCAGGATGAAGCTGAGTGCTCCCAGCCTTTCTGTCCCACCACACGCTGGCAGAATTAGATGCTCTCTCCTCTCTGGGCCAAATAGTCTCTCTTTGTACCTATGACAATGATATAAATCCTTTATTTTTGTTACCTGTCTCCCATTTTAAATTTTGAACTCTCTGGGAAGAAGGACCAATCCTTTGTGGATCCCCCGCTTTGATTTAAGTAGAAGTCAATTAGTGTTTGTTCAGCGAACATTTAGCCAACGAGAGGTATGCTGTAGGGGGTAACAAAAAATATCTCATAGGGCATGAGTTTAGGCTACCGTCAGATCCCGGCTCTCCTGCACACTGACCAGGTCTCTGCCTTCAGCAAGTTACCTGGTCTCTCCTGGTCTCGGTTTCCTCCTCTCTAGACTGGGGTTAGTCCTCCCCACCACTCAGACTTGTGAGGATCAAAGGAGATAAAAGATCTTGCATCGTGGCCAGCACAGGATAGGTATTCATTTCAGGACTTGTTTGCTTTTCTTTGTTTTCTAAGAAGCTTAGCACAGGGGTGCCTGGGTGGCTCGGTCAGTTAAGCGTCTTACTCTTGATCTCAGCTCAGGTTTTGATCTCATGAGTTCAAGCCCTGCATTGGGCTCTACGCCGGGTGCGGAGCCTACTTAAAAATAAATAAATAAATATAAATAAAAGTGGAAAAAAAAAAAAACCAAAAAACCTAAGAAGCTTAACACATCCTAAAACATTTTACCAGACAGTAAAACCAGAAGACCGATGAACCCTTTGGAGCACTGTTCCTCTCCTCTCCATTCTTTTCACTTCACTTTAAGCCCTCTAATACAATTTGAGGGGCCTGGACTCCCCCAAACAACATGGTGATACTGTTGACTCCTTTCTGAGTCTTGCTCCCTTTTAGCAAATCGGACGTGGGCAGATGCCGACAAATGCCCTGTCAGTTCCCAGCTTTACTCAGCTCTGCTCCCAACCTGTACCCCCCGCCCCCAACTAATCCAAGTAATAAGAAAGCACAATTTGCAGTTCTGATGTCTCCTTGTCACTTCTAAGGAATTCTTCAGTCTCTGTTTTCATACCCCAAAGCCAAAAAGGTTGTTTGAAGTGAAGGGAACTTTATAAACTCCAGATGGAGAGTTCTGATTTTCCTGACATCAGACTTTTCTCTATTTCTTCATTTCTGAATCGGGAATGACCCAGCTGTGTCCCCCAAGGATGACAGAGGAGCATGGCATTTCTTAGGGGTCGGTCTGTGACTATTTTCAGCCCGTAGCTGTTACTAGACACTATGTTCTCTGCTGTTTGGGCTGGGACACTGAGTACCTTCCATGAGACCTCCAGGATGCCCCCCACCTGACCAGGAAGTCTGCCGGCCGCCGAGTGTACCACCAGCGTGGCAGGTGGAGACATCTTGCCAAGGGCTAGGATTATAAGATTCCACAGAATGGTTGCAGTTAATTTGTTTTAAAATGAAACAAGTTTGTAGTCGAAGACTTTGAAAATACAGAAAAGCACAAAGAGTAAATCCTTTGCCCATTTCCCCACCTCCGGACAGAACCACTGTCACATTAAACTGACTGCCCTGCTAGTCGTTTTTTCCATGCATACTTTTAACAGAACCGAGAGCTTACTCTACATACTCTGTGTACCTTGGCTTTTTTTACTGAGTAATAGCTCTTGAACATTTCCCCATGTTAAAGATTTTTCTAAAAGGGTAGTTCTGCATCTTTTTTGTATCCCATATGCTTTTGAAAATCCAGTAACAGTTATAGACTCTCACTTCCTTGGAGAAAATAACATATAGTCAACCAACTGCGTGGAATAATTTTTGCACTGTTTCTAGGGTTTACAGACACTCCAAACCCATCCCCAAATCCGGGGTGAAGAATCTTTATAACGTGATTTTTAATGACGACTTAGGACTTTAATGTGTATAAACAGAGTTCTGATTGTGGACATTTGGATTATTTACCGTTCTGTTCTTTCTTTTCTTTTTCTTTTTTTTGACAGTAGTTGAATGACACGTTTTGCCAATACATCTTGCCCAGCTCCCTGATTACTGTCTTTGGATAAATTGCTATTAGTAGAGTTGCCAGGTCATGGAGTATGGCCACTTTTAAGGCTTTTGAGATGTCACCCTGGATGATTGTTTGATTACCATCTGTGAGCGACTGTTGCAGATGCAGCTGAGTGTCCTCTCGCTGGTCAGTGTTCTAATCGCCCTCTGCCTTCTTTCTCCACTGGCACAGCTCCAACCAGGAGATTCAGACCTACGCCATTGCACTGATTAACGCGCTTTTCCTGAAGGCTCCTGAGGACAAGCGACAGGTCTGTGGCTGCCTTTTCAAGTTTTTCATCCGGGCTCTTCCAGGAGAAGAATTGTCTCCCACGCACCCTCTGTTGTGCAGACAGCCGTCACACGGCCATTTCCCCAAGAGTCCTTCCTCCCGCCCCTCTGTGTCAGGGGCCCTCAGAGCGGCCTTGCTAAGGAAGGCCTGGGAGGCCCAGGTCTCAGGTCAGAGCATGGCCTGCAGACTTTTTCCTCCGAAGGGCCCAAGAGTAAATATCTTTTGCTCTGTGGGCTCATGGCCTGTGTGGCAGCCAGTCAACTTTGTCATTATAGCACGAAGAGCCTCTGACAATAGGTAAACAAGCGGGGGTGGCTGTCTTCCAAAAAGACCTCGTATACACAGCTAGATGACAAGCCCCGGCTGGTCTTCGTTGCCAACCCAGGCTAGAGGATCGAGAAGGGAGAGGACCCTCTCGGCATCACCGTCCAGTCCAAGGAAAGTGGGACAAATGAGATCCTTACTTAAGGAAGCCAGAGTGGGGGGATTTGGCACGAAGTTTGATGTATAAAGATCCTCAGATTCGAAGCTGCTTTCTTCCCCGGCCCATTAGCTGTGCGGCACCATGCACGCAGCTCTGTTCTGAGGCCCGGTGTCCTCTCCTGTGATACGGGAGTAGCAGCCTATGCCCCGGGTACTGCACAGGGGTGTCATGAGGAAAAGCCCCCTGTTTTACGAGTGAGGAAACCAGGAATAGGCCGGGCCAGGGAACAAGCAGGGACCTGAGCCCAGGGCCCGTAGGCTTAAGTGCTTTTCCAGGCTGGGCAGGTTCTTTAACCTCTCGGGTCTCTAATGAAAGAGTCAGGTTAGATGATCTCTAAGGGCCCTTCCAACTCTGACACTCTAGATATCTCTGGTTAAAAAGCCCAAGTAGCATACAAAAGAAAGACTATTAGATTCTCTGTCCATACCATGGGCCCTGGAAGTTGAAATTCATGTTGTGGGATCATGAACCAAGCTCTTGGTGGCTTCCCGTGGGAGGACCAGGAGCATCTATGGTTCTGTGTGTCCTTGTCTTTCTTGGATGGCTTTGTTCTGTTAATCTCTCCCTTCCTAGTCCTGTTTTGAATGTAAGCTGACAGCTCATTCTTCCATCTGCTTCTCTCCGTGCTTTTTGCTTTCTGCCGGCAGGACAAGCACCTTAACCCTCTAGACCTGCCTGTCACTGTAAGTAGCACCGCCGTGTGGAAAGGGCCCCAGCTCTCTTCCAGGTGGGGAGGTCAGAGCTGGGCGAGAACCTCTTGTTCTGACCGAGGGGTTCACGGAACTCCAAGACCCAGGGAAAGGTTGTGTGCTGTAAATCTCATTCATCAGAACACTCAGGGAACGTTCTGGAGACTAGTGTTACATCCAGGATTAAGGAGACGTCTGCCCCAGGGACTGCTGCCCAATCTTTCCTTTGTAACCTGTCTTTACGTAAGTTCGTGGTTCAGCCAGGGGAGATCAGATTCAGAAACAGCCTGAGACTTTCATGTAGATGATACCACGGATACATCGCCTTCCAGCTTGGTATGGCAAAGAGTAAAGATAAATCCATGTTGCTTTGGATGCGTACTAGACCATAGGAATTTGAAAAAGTCTAGACACTTGTCAGGAGGGAATTTGCATGCTTGTTGCTTGGTTGGAGCTTTAGAAGTCGGCTTTCCGAGGCTATGAAAGAGGATGAGTGCTTTCCCCCAGCACTGCAGAGAAGCTTCTGGTCTAAGGCCATTATATTCTAGCAGTAGGCCAATGTCAATTACCCACTTTGTAAGTTGTCCACAGCAAGATTTAATCTCAAGCCAACCTATAGCTACCAAAGAAGTTTCTAGGCCACCTTCCTCCTCTGCCAGCCCAGCATGTGCTCAGAGGATGCAAAGTAAAACTTAATGTTCCTGGCAGCGTCAGCCATTTGGAATATGGCTAGAGATGTAGAAGGGAGAGGGAAAGGCCTTTTAGCTCTGAGAAAAATGAGAGTGCTCACAGATACTGCTCCATGGGAGAGGTGGGACAGCTCCCTCAGGGCCACTGATTTAGAATTATCCATAAAATTAAATTAAGGCAGCAGTTTAGAAAGTGAAGTCATACTAATTAATGTGGTAAGAAGCAATGGCCGAGATTGGCAGGAGGAGACAGAAGAATTATGAAAAGCTGTCAGAAAGATTAAAAGCACAGGAACCTTGGGACCATTTTGTTGAGGGAAAAACAGCCGCACATTTCGGAGGTCCTCGGGGTAGCAGCGTGGCAGAACGTACCGCCCTTCTGGGAAAGCCAAGTCCTCGGCAGTGATGAAGTTGTAATTATTGTCGTCCCTTCAAAAATAAAGAAATGTCTATCATATATTTTTAGAGAATTTGTGTAAGAACAATCAAAACAAGGTCCTGAAAGGACCCTTGAAGCTTCGCTCCCTGGAAGACTCCTTTATGTAGGATCCTTTATTTCCTGAGGGTGCTAAATAAATAAAGTGTTACTGTCAAAATCTGAATGAAATACAATAAAAACACTGACCCTATTAGGAGAAATTACCCAAAAGCACCAACATGCTGTTCTCCAAACCAGTCAGAAGTGAATCACGGCTACTTACTGTGGCAGAGTGTGGCGCTGGGGGGCCCCGGAGGGGGCACTGGGGCCAAAGCCCTGTCCTTGGGTTGGAGGAGGCCCTTCCAGCCTTGGGGGTGGGTGTCTGCCTGGAACGGCGCATGGGAACCATCTCGCTGCTCTGTGCTCCGTACGCATTGTCCGTTGCCCGGCATCCTTGTGACTCGACTGTCTCGTCCTGAAGTGGTCTTTGTTCCCCTTGGAAGATGATGTGGTTGACTGTGCCATTGGGGAGGGACACCCTATCTGAGTCAATTTGCCCTCCCAGAAAAAAAGCATGTGGGAATTTTTCAGAGTATAAAATATGTTTGATGGTCTGTGGGTTTTTTTTTTTTTCCATTTGCCCACTTTTTATTTGAAAGGAGAGGGGCGCCTGGGTGGCTCAGTTGGTTAAGTGACTGCCTTCGGCTCAGGTCATGATCCTGGAGTCCCTGGATTGAGTCCCGCATCGGGCTCC